CGTCCATGAAGCTCATCAAGGCATGGCCGGCTGTTGAGTCGACCAGGTTATCAATTTTAGGCAGAGGGTAACTGTCTTTGGGGCACGCCTTGTTTAAGTCTGTGTAGTCTACACACATTCGCCAGGTGCCATTCGGCTTTTTAACAAGCACCACATTTGCAACCCAGTCTGGGAAGTAACATTGCCGAATGAACCCTGCATCAAGTAATTTTTTAACTTCGGCGGCTGCCGCCTGACTTCTTTCTTCGCCATGGTTCCGCTTCTTTTGCCGAACCGGCTTCTTTTTCGGATCCACGGCCAGTTTATGTACCGCCAGATCAGGACTAATGCCTGGCATTTCATGGACTTCAAATGCAAAGATGTCCTTGTATTCTTTCAATAGGTTGTGAAAGTCGTCACCAAGGTTTCTCAGAGCAGTCGTCCCAACTTTAACTGTTCGGTCAGGACGTGAGTCGTCTAAGATCAGGTCCGCATGCTCACCAGCCGGCTGAGGGCGGAACTCATCCGGCCGCTCCTCTGCCAATGATTGCTATTTTCTTGCTTTTCTTGCGGACTCTGTCTGGGACGCCTTTCTCTTTTTGGCGCCTGCTTCTTGAACAGGCGCACTCTCCTTGACATTGTCAAGGTCTGTTTTTTCACCACTTGACCCAGTGGCCATAACAGTGGGCTTGACATCCGAGAGATAGCACTCTCGGGCCATCCTCTGATGTCCCCTTAGGGAGCCGACTGTTCCATTATCCCTCTCAAACTTGAGCAACATAAGAGACGGGATTATAACAGCCTTGGAATTATTCAGGGTTGGTCGACCCAGAATCATGTTGTAGGCCGAGAGTTCCTCTACTACTAGGAACCGGACTACCATGTGTCGTCCTTCCCCTTTTTCGCCCAGGCGAATGGGTAAATCTACTCGTTCCAGTGGGTGGACGACTCCTCCTCCAAACCCTATTAAAGGGTGGGAGGCCGGATGTATGCAGTCAGTCTGATACTTCAGTTTCGACAGACATTTGCTGCTGATGAGATCTGAGGAGCTCCCGGTATCTATGAGGATTCGGCCAACTCTCTGGTTGGCCACTTTACATTCAATAATGAGAGGGTCGTCATGCGGCCCCCTTATTCCTCCTAGATCCTCTTCAGTGATGACAATCTCAGGAAATGTATATTTGGACGGCCGTTCTTGGTGAACGAAATTTACATCTAACCGCCTTATATTATCTTTGTTGCCCCTAATAGTGGGGCCGCCTCCTGAGAAGCCGCCTGCAATGGTGTAGACGACTGCATCATCTGTATCGGAGCTGTCGGCCTGTTGATTCTTTTTGGCCGACTGCTTTTTTGAGGAAGTGTTCCCCGTAGATTTCTTGACATAAGTGTCAAGATCACCTTGCTCAGCCAGGCGGTCTAGGTACCGTATGAGACTGATGCAATCATTGGTGTGATGACCAACGTCATCATGATAAGCACAGATTTTATCTTGGTTCCGGTTGTTTGCAGAACCCTTCATGGGGACCGGCTTCTCAATTGAGATCCGTCCCTTTATTTCTTTTAGGATAAAATGGTTATCCTTGTTAAACACATACTTTGGGGAGTATGGTTTGAATTCTTTTTTCTTTTTCTGGGCCGGCTGTTTAGAGGAATCAGCCGCCCAGACCTCTTTTCTTTTCTCATCTTTGTTAGACGACTGTTTCTGTCGTCCTTCTCTTTTGTCGAACCTTTTCCCGTCCGACTGTTTTATCGTACACAGATCAGTCGCCTGTATATAGGCTTCTGCTTCAATCAAGGCCTCTTGAAGAGTCGCCACCCTTTTTCGAACCAAATCAAATTTGAAGGTAGACCCATCTTTGAGACCTCTAAAAAAGTCGGTATAAGCTACCTCATCCGGTAACCCTTGAATCTGTATTCTCATCAGGTTGAACCGCCTGATGTAAGAGCGAAGCCCCTCCTTCTCGCCCTGCTGAATTGTTCCCAAATCAAGGGTCGTTTTCTTCGCAGGGATGTTCATGGCGAAGTTGGAGGCAAATAAATAAGCAAGCGTCCTGAAGCTGTTTACACAACCAGTCGGCAGGTTGCCGAACCATCGCTGTGCGATTCCCTTGAGAGTCGCTGGGAAACACTTGCACCAAGTGGGATCATCCAACCCTTGAAGGTACATCAGGTTGGTGAATGCCATCAGATGGTCTTCTGGGTTAGTAGTGCCGTCATAGGCGCCTACTAGTACATTTTTTACTTTGGCCGGCTGAGCGGCTTCAGTAATTTCCTTGGAGAAGGCCGACGGCTGTTCACCAAGTCTAAGCAACCGTAGCTGTCAGTCCATAGGTTGGACGTTTTTTGCTGCAGGTCCACCAAATGGAGGTGGCTGCATAAAATACTGTTGTTGCGGCACAAATGGTAAGTTTGGTACCGCCTGGGCACTATGAAAGCCGGACTGACGGGAGGTGCCGCCTGACTGACTCTCATGGTACGACTGAGTATGCCTCCTCGAGGCATTTCGCAAACTGTCTTGAAAATTTGAAGTAGAAGCCGACTCTGACAATCGGTCACTCTTCTTCTGCTCTAGCAGTAGCCGAGCATCTGTGAACGTTTGCTTTGACTCGTCCGCCTGAATATGACGAACCGGTTTCCTATTTCCTGTAGGATAACGGAATTTTGTGAAATCAAGGGCAGGTGGCTCCCGCTTCCTAGATTTAGGATGAGGAGTCGCCTCTCGCCCTTGAACTGGCTTCCTCTTCTGTGAAGTGGAAGGTTTCTTGGCCGACTGCTCCTTGACTGAAGCAGGCGGCTTCTTGTTGATCAACTCTTGAATCTCTCCCTTGAAGTCCCTCATGAAGGTCATGAGTTCGTTCCTTGTGATGGGAGCAGACCCATCAGTCGGCTGTTGCCGAGCAGGCGGTGCGCCTGCTGGCTTGCTTCCTGTTTGAAGATGCTCCCGTTCCCTCCTTTCGGTATGACGGGTACGTCGGGCCCTTAGGGTCCCGTCTGGAGCTGTATGAGTTTCAACTTCAAATTCACTTTCGGTGTCATGGTCCGACTGAACTTGAGGGTCGTTTAGGGGACGCCTCTCTTCAGGAGTCGGTACAGACTTGGATGCCATCTCTGAAGTACTCTCCCCACAGACGGCGCCAAATGTTTCGGGGTTTTCTGATGTCCTGCGGGAGAGTTACAATTCCGAGACTGGAACCGGACGCTTGTACCTGCAAAATAACGGAGACTCCTGAGAGCTCCGCCTCCAACGGTCAAGTTAGTACCTGATTAAGGAGTAATTAATACGGAAATTAAAGTAATAAGATCTCTCTAGGTGAGAGTGTTCAATGTTGGTAATCTGCTTTGTTAGCGAGATTAGCCGGTTATTAGTGTCTTCCGTAACGTTTCTGTTCTGTTCCGTTCTTCAGGTGAGACTAATTTCTTGATCCCCTTTAATGAGGATTAATTAAGTATTTATAGTCTTGAGAAGCGTGCCACTCTCTAGGTTTAGGGTAAACCTAGGGCTGACCGGGCCTCTAGACAGGATTGGGCCTTGTTGGCCGGTTTTCCCATTTGGCATGGGTGGACACGTGGCGTGTCTCAATTGGTCCGTAGAGGACGTATCTGTGATTGACACGTGGCAGGCTCCTATTGGCCTACGTGAAGGACACGTGGCGGAACCTGGTTGGTCCACTTGTCAAACGGTGATTGGTGGATAAAAATCCCCTAATCAAGAATGGTCCAAAATTGATGCAAGGGGTTGGTCAGCTTTCTAGGATGGTCATTTCACTTATGGGGTGAGAGAGGGTGCTACACAAACAAGGTATGTTGTCAGCCTTCTTGACATAGCTTGTAGTTGTAATGCATGTCAGTTAAGTGGTTTGCCATGTAATCATGTTGTAGCAGCAATCTGGAAGGCAGTGGAGCATCCTGAACCCTATGTGTCTAATTGGTTCAGTAAAGACACATACCTAAAGGCTTATGAATTTCCCTTGGAGCCTTTAAATGGACCTCAACAATGGCCACATTCACCATATGCTCCAATATAAGCACCCCAAGTGAAAAAAATACAACACATGCCTGCTACAAAAAGGAGGCCATCAGTTGGTGAGGTTGAAGGGATAAAGAAATCTAGAAAAGGACAGCCACACAAGTGCAACAACTGTGGGCAACAGGGGCATACCAAAGTAAAATGTCCAATTCCATTCAATGATCCTCCCCCCCCCCCAAATCAGCTAATCCTACTACTCAAACAGGACAAGGTTCTGATCAAGGCACAAAGAAGAGGAAACATCAACTGAACCAGCAGGAACAGGCCACTCCTAGCACCCAACAAAGTCAAGTTAATGTTCCAATGCATAATAGGGGTGTAGGAGTATACACTTACCTAGATGGCTACACAAGACATGCTATGGTAAGCATTTGGATTTCAATATAACTCATTTCATTCACTCATATATAATAAACTTTGAAATTAACTCAGTTTTTCATTAATTTGTGCAGCCAATGAATACATCTCAAGATAGTCAGTCACATTCCAACATTGGATCAAGTAATACAACTGTATGGTGGTACTAAGGAGGTTAGAAGTGAATGCAAATCTTGCTTTACTTGAACAAATACATAAAACCAATAATGATTACAGAATTATAATTAAAATCCTATATAAACTAATCATATTCTTCCTCTGTTCATCTACATTCTGCAGCATCTCATTCTTTTGTATCATTTTGATCATTTCATATTTCACCTCCCACTCATAATCTTTATCAAGCCACTCCCAAAATTCACAACCATTATGCTGCTTGTAATTTTGACATGTGATGAATATTATAAATGTATTCCTTGTTGTCCTTGATAACCTTGTAACAGCTCCTTTATTGCATTTGCAAACACAACTCACTGTTGCCATTTTTTTTCGCATGATCAGCTTCAGCTTTTGGTGCTAATAATGGAGGCTTCAAGTTTGCCTATCACTGTATTTATACTCCTTGTATTCTCCAACGGCCAGTTTTTTTTTTTTTTTTTTTTTTTTTTCTTATGTTCAATTTCTGTTCGTTGAAAAAAATTGTAGTGAATTGCTTTGACAAAAATTATTAAGGGTCTATGTTTTTTGGTTTTGAAATATTTAATGAAGGGATTATGTTTTTATCAATGAATGTTGTTTTTTACACGTTATTTAATGCAAAGGGACTAAGTTTTTGCTCAGGTGAGTTAAAGATGAGTTAAGTTGCCGGATTCTTAACTCTAGGTCCCAAAAGGTGAAAAAAAAACTTAGGTCCCAAAAGGTGAAAAAATGAAAAACTTAGACCCTACAATTGTACTTAAATCAAGTTTAAGCAAAATATTAGAAAGATCATATGATTTAAACATAATAACAAAAGGCTAATATAATAAAATATCACAATGTATAAACAAATAACATTATAGTTTATCAAAATAATATAAGATTCAATCTAAATTAAGTCATGGTTTTAACATAATAACGCATATCATGTTAGTATAGTACCCAAAGAATATCATGCTCAAGGTACTCCAAGAGCATTTAAGACTAACTCATTTTAAATTGATACTCCGTGCCAAAGATTGAAAAATCGTGCATAGCACGAAATCCAACTTCCATCGAAATTGATAAAAGTTGGAATTATTGTTTCTAATTTTCAAAGATAAAATAATAATGCGTCAATTAGACCCGAATACATGAAACTCAAACATAACCACCGTTAACTCGAATAACCTGACCATTAACCCATTCACCAGCATCACTAGCCAAAAACCCAACAATAGGAGCAACATCTTCCACCTTCCCCAACCTTCCTAAAGGACAATCATCAACCACTTTCTTAACCATCTCCTCCGATTTCCCATCAAAGAACATCTCCGTCGCAATCGGCCCGGGTGCAACCGCATTAACCGTAATCCCACTCCCCTTCAACTCCTTTGCCAATATCTTCGTCATGATTTCCACTGCCGCCTTCGACGCCGTATAAGCCCCTTTATTCACCTTCAAAGACGCCACTGTTGACGACGACATTGTCACGATTCTCCCGCCACCGCCGCGGGTGATTCTCTTAGATGCCTCCTTGATGCAGAGGAAGGTGCCGCGGGTGTTGACGGAGAAGATGCGGTCAAAATCGGCAGCTTCGATGTCGAAGAGTGAGGAGTATTTGGGGTCGAGGACGTCGGCGGAGGTGACGACGATGTGGGGTTGAGTGTTGAAGGTTTGTTCGGCAATGTTGAAGAGAGATTTTACTTGAAATTTGTCGGAAACGTCAGCTTGGATAGCGATTGCGCGTGGGGTGGTGGTGGTGGTGGTGGTGGAGTTGATTTGAGAGACGAGTTGATCGGCGTGGGTTTTGGAGGATGGAGAGGTGTAATTGATTACGAGTTTTGCGCCTAATGATGCTAAGTGGAGTGCGATTGCTCGACCTATTCCTCGGGATGCGCCGGTTACAATGGCGACTCTGTCTTGGAGGGTGTTGGTGTTGGTGGGGGTGGTTGTTGCAGGTGAGGATGCCATTGTTTTGGGATTAATGTTGTTGTTGTTAATGCGTTAATTGGGAATTTAAAGATGAGTTTTAGACTTTTAGTTATCTATGTCAATTAATAGAGAATAAGTGAATTAAGTGATTGATATTTTATTGACATATACTGGATTAGCAACTAATTAAGAAAGGTAACGAAAGATTACAAAGGATAGGATTAATGAGGAAATTAAAAGAGAATAATATGGAGATTTTACACAGCAGTAATCATGGATAAAATCAAGGAGTTTATTATTAGGAGATCATGACAAGTGTTAGAGGCCAATATTTTTGAAATTTGGGAGTATTGTTTCACATCGTATTTTGTTTATTACTCCGTAATTATTTAGTTAACAACACGTTTTTATTTATGTTTGTCAACCTATAAAGGAAAATAAGCTATAATTTATAAAGTTGATATATCGTGGACAGTATAAAATAATAGTGGGGATCAATAATAGTTGATTTGAAATTAATAGTTGTACAATAGTGGGGATCAATGCAAAAAAAAAAAAAAAAAAAAAAAAAAAAAAAAAAAAAAAATTCATCATGTTGATTTGAAATTTTATGAACTAATAATAATTGAGTTGGTTTTCTATTCAATATTTTTGCAATTATTTTTACCAACTTATAAGTTTTTTCTTCAAAAAATCTATAAACTATTACTAAAACTGGTCATGATTACATTGATGATCATTTTGGACATATGTTGCTATCATTAAAATTTTCCTACCAATACAAATATGATGTCAGCTTTAATTTTTTTTAAAAAATTATTCTACTTAGCTTATACGTAGTATTACTCTCTCCATTCATAATGTTAGTCCCATATTCTATTTTGAGCATTTTAAAAAGATATACCCATTGGAATTAATTGGTTGTGGATTATTGACATGACTCTAAGTAAGGAAATATCTAAATTGAATTATGCATTATAATTCTAAATAAGTTAAATTAATTATAATGTACTTTAATGTTAGATTCCAAATATTCTTCTTTTTTTATTTTATGTGATTGATTCCATATGAGATTAACATTATGAAACATAGAGAGTATTTGGAGTAAATTGTATAGGTTTTTTTTTAACTAAATTAAATCATCAATAAAAAGTCATACGGTATTTACATTGTATAATTTTATTATAAATAGTAAGCATCATTAATGTATTATTGATCATGCATAGTACTTCCTCCGTTACGTATTACTCGCAAGTTGTAATACTAATATATTTCCTCCGTTACGTATTATAGTACTTCTTTTCTTCGTTATATATTACCTCCGTTACGTATAGTACTTCCTACGTATTATGTATAGATTTCCTCTGTTACGTATAGTACTTCTTCCGTTACGTATTATGTATTATTGATCTTGTATAGTACTTCCTCCGTTATATATTTTCAACACAACTAATCAAAAAAAATATTTTTTTCTCAATTGTAGTTTTGAGAATGTTTGCCTTATTATTTCATCTTTCTTATATGCAATAATTGTATTTGTTTATTATTCCACATGAGTTGCCTCATTTTTATATTATATGACAAATTAATTACGGGAAAAAATTATTAATATCGTGCATTGCATACACTAATCTAGTGAAAAAAAAGGAGTTAGTTATACCTCATAACTACTTGTATTTGTTAGTATTATTTTAAAAATTACCTAACAAAAAATATATGTAAAAAAATAATATTGTATTTGATTGTATATTTTTTTTGAGGGAAGTATTTGATTGTATATGGATTAAACGCAATTGCCAAAATGGAAAGAAATATTTTAGAAAGTATGGGTTGTAAAGGTTATAACAAAATATTACAAGGTTAGATTAGGGAGGAAATAAAGAGAGAATAATATGGTGATTATATGTAGCAATAATCATGGATGAAATTAAGGAGCTAATTAGTAGTAGATCATGGCCAATCCTTATCGTAAAGAAGTTATTTGAGATCAATGCTAACCTTTTCCATTTAAGTATGTATTTTGAAATTTTGGGGTATTATTTTACATCGTATTTCTCTAATTTTAAGTTGAGATTTTTTTTTTACTCTGTATCATGCATATTTGTCGAGTAAAGTAAAAATACGGTCCCTTAACTTTGGTATAAGTTTGATTTAGGTCCCTCAACTTTCAAAAGTCTGATTTTGGTCCCTCCACCACCACTGAAGACTTATTCCGGCAAAATAATTGATGACTAGACAAAGTTTAGGGACAAAAATGCTGAGTTGTCAAATGAAGGGAAAAGTTTAGGGACCTTGCCCATATGACGTCGCATTTTTTATTAATATTGGTGAAAGTTTACGGACCTTAGCAGTCCATTTTTCCCCAAAATGGGTATTAACTTAGGTGATATAATCAGAAGGCTCCATTTATTCCTTTATAAATTAGAAGCCCACAAGAGTACTTTTCATCACAAAATTGTATTACGCCATTGTTGCTGATGTCGGGTCGGGAATTTGGCGAAACAAGGGAGCAAAAAAGGTTCAAGCTTGCGAAAGTATCATCTGCTGAAGGTAATTCCATCCTCTAATTTGGAAATTCTTATATGTGCCATGAATTGTATAATCAGCACGAAAATCATTAAAAAATTCCAAAGTCCCTAAACTTTAGTACAGTCAGCATTGAAAGTCCCTAAACTTTGGTCCAGTCAACAGTTAAATAATAGCAATGTCCCTAAACTTTGCAGACTTATTCTTATAGCCACCACAATTAATGAGTCATTGGTGGTGGAGGGACCAAAATCAAACTTTTGAAAGTTGAGGGACCTAAATCAAACTTATACCAAAGTTTAGGGACCGTATTTGGTCTTTACTCCATATTTGTCGACGTATATTTGAATTTATTATTGACCCGTCAGTAAGTTAATACAAATAAAATATACACAATTCTTAAACTATCAATAAGCAAATATAAATTAAATATACACAATTCAAACATAAACTATGGGCTTGTTCACATTTATTGAAGTGAGCTGAACTAAACAGAACTGAAATAATTGGAGCTGAACTGAACTGAACTGCACATAGCTAAAATGAATATTTTATGAGAGAAACCGGTGGCAATTCCTAATTAGGCACCGGTTTGGTTTGAACCAGTGCCATTTCTACTAGTGTAAATCCCGCCCATTTTTTTCCCCAACGGTTTTGAAAATCCGATGCCCTTTCCTCGATGCCAAATTGATATTTTCTACTAGTGATAGCTTCTTGAAGCGGCTAAACCTCGTACTTATATTGGTAGACTTCCAACATGCTCCTGTGACCAAAGCACTTTATCAGAAATTCTATTAAGTTTAAAAAAGAACAACTTATTTTCATCACTGTAAACCGGAACTTTACCTTGGATGAATACACAAGTTCTCAATTAGCAAATGAGAAAGTTAATCTTATTGAACTTAAAACCCAACGTCTTATTAGGCGTTAAGTTAAGACTCCCTCATTTGAAATTATTTAGGGTTCCAATCCTAAACCAATTTCCACCCTATTGTTAACATCTCTAGCCAATGCCTTAGTAAAACAATCGCCGAGATTAAGATCTGTTCGAACATAATCAATAGTAATCACACTATCCTTGATAAGCCCTTGGATGTAACTATGCCGTACTCCAATGTTCCTTGACTTACCATTATAAACTTTGCTATAAGCCCTTGCCAAGGTAGCATTATTATTGAAGGAGTTTATAGGTACATATTACGGAAACATGAATCACATTCATATAGCACCTAATTCCAAGATCATGCATAACACATAAAAAATTAGAATTAATACCTTTGTAGCGTGATTCCACGTATGATCGAGCAATAAAAATAAGGAGAATAAGAACCCCACGTGTGATTCCTCTACTAAGTCCACGAGCACGAATCAAACCTCCACTAATGCTAGTTAGTTATGATCGAACACTTCAATCAATCTTTGACGGAGATGTGAGTCACGAGCACACCACAAACCACCCAAACAACCCCTACACTTGCCACCCAAAGGGGCCGAACGTACGGACAGGGAGGAGAGAGAGGGCCGAGTGGAGAGAGAGAGAATTAGGGTTTTGGGAGCTTGTTGCTTGGTTCACAATTAACTGTTAATTGTTATGTCATACAACCCTTGGCATGGATTATATTTATAGATCACATCTCTAAATAAATCCATGTCAAGCCCAAAACACATCAAGCTCTTCTAACTATTCTAGCCCAACAATCAATGTGGCATGCCATAAACTCATGAGGCCCAATAATGGGCCTCTAACTTGTTTCACCCAATACTCTTGTGTGTAACCTCATAGGATCCATTCTGTGAGGCTTTGGACTACTCAACTGGCCCAAAGATCAATTGTCATATCTAGCACTAAACATTGACGACCCTATAGAATGAACAAATTATCTCCATAATTGTGATCCTTGATTTATCTAGTAATTGCACTTATCGAAGACATAACTCCTTCAATCTCCCACTTATCTGAGACAAGTGCACAATATTTAAATTCCTTAAGTCAATGTGTGTCAATTTGATAATATGATTGCATCTCATGTCGTGATCATATTAATCTACAAATCTTTTCTTGAGATTTGAGTTAGAATTACAAAACAAATGATTACTATGTAATCCATTTGAGCATGACCATGTATTTTCTGAATTCTTCCTCCTCAAGGGGCCAAGACACATTCTTAATTAAATAGGTAGACTCAATCCAATCTTGTGGCAACCAAAGCTCCCACTCAACTCATGAAGTAACCGGGAAACACACTTTATAATCTCTAGTTACGAGCAGACGTTTGAGTGTACCACAGTTAAATCAATCATTGAATGGAATCAATGCTCCTCTCATGTCAAAGGAATCCATTAATATATCTGGAAGTTCTATACTTGAACTTCAAAGTAGGTCTATAGTTCGAACATGCATCATTCATGCATATCCATGTGATTGACCGAGCATCATCACTATGCCCCTATAGCCCATGAAACTGCGCTATCCAATCAATCTTACATGCTAGTCCATTTATTGAAATCATTTATGTCCACTTTAATGATTGCAAACTAGGAACTCAAATAATATATGGATTTTGTTCACCTGTGGGGTTTCATTCACCAGGTCATCAACCTGATGAGCCCATCAATCCATAATTATTTTTCACATTTTATTTAATATCAAAAACCATAATTAGATAAGATTGAAACTTTGTTTCAATTGATAAACATAATTCTGCAAGTTAATGTATTACTTATGTAATATGTTTTCTCAAAACATACACAAATTAAATTAGATAACTTGCTTCAATCCAAGAACCTTAGTATGACTCTCATATCTTGGTCATAGAAGGGGTTTAGTAAGTAGAGGTCATGAGACATTCTCTTTAGGCGTCGTTTGAAGTGCGCCTACGTTAAAAGCATGTGGTGAATATGCTTGGCACTCATAGGAAGTGGGAATTGACATAATACGATTAGGGACAAGGAAAGTAGGGAGCCGCCAACAAGTTTTTAAGGAACTAGTAAACCGTTCACGGATCATAAAAGGCAACCACGAATAAGGGACAACGAAGGCAACAAC